ATTTTTTAACCCCATTTTTGGCGATTTTTCGATTTTTACAATAATAACCATGATTCAATCGATTTGTAACTAGTCACGTATTGTAAAAAATTTAATTACAAAAATTTTTTTCCTCTTCCATTTTCCCCTAAAATCAACTCTTGAAAAGATACATAATTAAATAGGAAGAAAAATATGACATTTTTCGAATTTTTTTAACATAACATATTTTGCCGCCAAAAATTAAGCCCACGTTTTTTTTTATGAGCATAGAAGAATTTTCATTTCTAGTGATATTTGAAAGCCAATAAACCAAAAATCTCCGTGAATATACGATTCACCCTAATCTGGACTTTTTGAAAAAGATACCGTCTGGACTATTTTTATTAAAGACGAACTTGTGACTAAATAAAACGATTTCAAATTATCATTGGCCCACCAATACCACTTCTATCCGTTTTCTCTTCATTTTCGCTGTGTGTGCTTCAAATGTTACCTAGTGTAAATCAAACTCACTCAGGGTATTACCTTGTAGATAGTAAATGATTAGGCGAACTGAATAACCATCTACATAGTGGTAATTCAATTTAGCTGCCGGCTAAGCTCGTCCCTCTGCATCCAACTGAAATAAAATCTGCAGTCGCACGTAATGGGTATAATAACGTGTATAACAGAGTACAACATGCCCGGTTTTGCAAACAAGTCAACAAATTAGTTCGTTAAATGAGGAGTAATGATTGGCAAAACAGCAGTTGGTTATAAAACGTAACACGGTAGGTGTAGGTACATTATAAAGCCATTCCACATTTGTAAAATTTTCGTTTTAAAAGGGGTTAGGTTAAAAAACAATATTTTATGTGTATTAAAACAAAATGTAGTCAAGGGCGTTGGCGAATATATTTTCCCATTATTTTTATAATATTTAATAAAATAGCTTTACCAAAAAATGCAAGTACTTGTAGAATATCCTAAAAGGAAATGGATATACTTCAATAGCTCTCCTTCTTTAGAAAATTATAGGCTTTCAAAAAATGTATCTTTTGTTTGTTTTTAAGAGAACCTTTCTTATTTAAGGTTCATTACATTTTATTTTATTGAGATTTCGGAAAAGCGGAAATGTTTTAGTATAAAGTAGGCTCAATGCATGTCTAAATTGTATCTTCAAAAAAAAAAGGAGTACTTGAGGGAATTCTATTCTAATTAAACATCATCTTTTTGGTAAATTAACACCTTTTATTAATTTTCCTTTTCAGATTTCAAAAGTCAGCTGCTATTCGGATATACATTGTGTTCCCATTTTAAACATACTAATTTTATCAGTTGATGAAGGACTTCATTTTAAACAAAAAAAAGTTCAAGTGAATATAGGTAGGTACGTCGTAAATCGCTTCCTAACCGAGATACAGTGTGTCGAATGAATTTTTTTTTAACTTTTTTCGTAACATTTAAAAGCGAAACCAAATTGGATATTTTTTGTGGTGACATAATGTCTTTTAAAAGTGACGTACCTATGTATAAATGATTAACTAGAACTACCGGTTGACGCAGTGGTAGACTAAATTCGACCAAAATTATGTCACAATGAGAGAGAGAGAGAGAGGGTGTCCCGGTACTTGATACAAAAAACTCGAGTACAAATAGATGAGGTCAAAGTAATATCAGTTCTTCATATAAATCGTATAAATTTTCTTCATACGGGCCTTCGTTAACAAGTTACGGGACCAAAAATGTGAAAATTAAGAAGTTTTTTTTATTTATAGTCTTTAAACTATTAAGTTCACCATGATGGAAATTTGGTGATCGATATAGATTACATTGTTCAGCTTGTTTTTGATGTTGTAAGTGAAACTTCATTATGCCCAGAACGCCAGGGACGGACTATGCCCAATGGTTAACAATTCAGAATTTTTGCATAGATGACGATCGAAATCTGCCTGCATCAAAAATGAGTTCTCTGATGAATTTGCCAACGATAATACCCTCTTGGTTCTCTTGGTTCAATTCGGTAAAATTAACAGTTTATGAAAAATTTGTGATTTTGTCACAGTGCACATCGAGCGGCGCCTCCGCCATGTTTTGTTTTTTATTTTTAATTGGACATAATTACTATGTTAGAACCGTACATATTTTAGAAAATCTTACAGTCTGCTAATATAATTCGCTAACAAAATTTGACAGACACACTTTGTTAGGGATTCAAATACTCCCGCAAATTTATGTTTTGATGTATAGGAGAAGTGGTGGGGAGGCCTATGTGGTCCGACAAATTGTAAAGCCAGGCGGCACCACATACCTAATGTAAATGGATGTATGTTTGTAGTCAACAGTAAAATAAAAGTGGTGTTCTCGAAGACTAGAATTTTTAATAAAAAACAAAAAAATATCTATAGTCCACAACACAAAATAGAAAAACTAAACAAAAATAAGTTAAAGTAACTTAAGTATTCAACTCCAAATTTCGATGTCCATTCAGACGTTTTTCGAAACGATTAGATTATTAACCACTATTAATATATGGGCAGGAATAGTGGGTAATAATTTTTTGAGGAACGTCTGAATGGACATCGATATTTGAGCCTTGCAAAATAATTTGCAGCCACTATTAGACGATGTTGCATTAGATACCCGAAAAATCGTTTGGTTCATGCACGATGGGGCTCCTCCCCTCTTCAGTATTGATGTACGAAATTATTTATCCATTGTGTTTTGTAATAAATGGATTCGGAGAGGAGGCCGCCAATTTCATGGCCACCGTGTTATTCGGACTTTAACCCGATGGGCTTCTTCCTGTGGGGATACCAGAAAAGTTTAGTGTACTCAACCCCAGTACAGACAGGCGATGAATTACTACAAAGAATTAATTTCCATTATGATAGTATGTGTGGATGTGGAACGTGCCCATATTGAAAATGTATTTTGATAGTTTAACTTATTCTTGTTTTTTTTTCTATTTTGTGTTATGTGTGTTTGTCAAATTTTGTTAGGAAAATTACATTAGCAGGTAGATTTTCTAAAATATGTACAGTTCTAACATAGTCAATATGTCCAATTAAAAATTAAAAACAGAACATGGTGAGGTGCCACTCTATGTGCACTGTGACATAAAATCACAAATTTTTCCTAAACTTAATTTTACCGAGTTGAACCAAGAGGGTATTATCGTTAGCAAATCTTCAGGGAAAATTCTGGATTGTTAACCATTGGGCATAGCCCGTCCCTGACGTTCTGGGCATAATGAGGTTTCACTTACAACATCGAAAACAAGCTGTACGCATGTGTGCATGATCACCAAATTTGCATCATGCTGAACTTAATGGTTTAGAGACTAAATAAAAATAGTTGCTTAATTTTCACCTTTGAGGCCCTTAACTTGTTTACGAAGGCCCGTATGAAAAAAAAATTATATGAACTGATATTATTTTGACCTCATCGATTTGTACTCGACATTTACCGAGACAACCTGTATACTTCAGAATTACACAATAAGAACTACAAAACATGATAAAGTAAATATATCGAAAATCTCTGTTTTAATTATCGAAACTTATATTTACTTCAAGCAAACACAAAAACAATTGATTGAATATTCGGTGTAGTTACGAATTTAGCAAAAAGAAATTTAATTAGTCTGGAATGCTCTGAAATATTTACTCAGCTATCCGTAACTGATATCTATCGTGAAAATTTGGAGTGTAAAATTGAATTATATTTTTATTTTGCAACGATGCATTTTAGCAATATCCAACAATACACCTCATTAACAGTAAATAAAGTGATTTCTAGGAAGAAAATCTGCATTTTATTAAAATATCCAGCAAAAAATGAAATATACACAAAACAAAAGATCTCTATATTTCATGTAGAAAATATGGTCATTTTCGGCTACTTTGGGTAGCCCAAAATATCTTAAATAATTAGTTTTATCGAAGAGAAACTTAATAAAAGTTATTTGAACATTTTTATGGAAGCAGAATTGTATCTTGTTAATTTTCAATTAAAAAAGCTACCTTAAGAATGATTTCATTTATTTAGAACAGTATATAACAATATCTAAGCTTCTGAGAACATAAAAGAAAGAAACATATTCTAGACACATCAGGAACCAAATAAGCAAATAAATGTACACTAGGGCGATTTTCACTACAATAAAATAGTACAATAAATACAAGAACTTCATGAAACATCAAATAATGCGTGTATAGAACAGTGCAAATAAGTTTGCATTTCTGATTCAAGCAGACGAGACGTTGTGAAGAAACGCATTCGGCTATAAGGAATAAGAGGCGATTTGGGATAACTATTAAAAACTCGCTTCACGCAAAACGTTATAACGTCGTGGTAGATACACGTATGCTGATGGAATTTGTTTGGTCACTTGGAAGACTTCCCACGACGTAGTTTCGGTGACCGCACATAGATAGCGCCACGCACTTCGCTACAATAAAATCAGACTCAAAATTTAATAGCTAGACCGTGTATATGTTATGTTTATGTATTGCAATGTGAACCTCGTTCCGTTACGAAATCTTTAGAAAACGGAAAAAAATATCGCTTCACTTCGTTTTTGTTCTCGTATTCCTTGTACGTAACACTGCACCGTCGAAATTCTCTCCTGGAGGGTGCAATAGAAAATTACTTGGAGATCCCAGCGTGAAATAAATAGCGCCATCTATCATACCTCGGCGTGATATTTCATCCGGTGTATTACTGGCATTAGCGTTATGATCCGATTAGGCCTGCGAATGAACTATATCAAGGCAAATATAGTATGCAGGCGAGATGCATATCGTGGAGCTGTGGAATGGGAGCGATTATCCCTGTAAATTCTATATTACCTCCGGGTGCAATATATACGAATATACGCCCGCTTTGCTTATTGAAGAAGTAATAGTGTCGATGTAATCCTTGAAAATTTAAACATAAAAACTGTTAATGAGGTATTTTGACAATTTAACAATGTTTTAATTCAAAGCAAATCTGAATGTACACCTGTATATTTATTTATTTATTTTTTGTTTCAGGAAGCAATCGATTACACTTGATAAGGTAAGTGTCATTAGGTTTATTTGCATATTATACATTAATAATACTTATTATTATTAAATGTACCTGTTAAAAAATGGTGCAATTCTGTTATACATAAAAGGAGGAGGGTCGATAAGACCGGTTTTCGATCCTATCAGAAATTCATCTTAATCATGTTTTTTGGATCTTCAGAAACAAAAGAAGAAACAATATTAAATCGATTCTAGGCCAAAACGGATACAACCCCCCAACCCGAACATAAAAAAATGCTTAGAAATGTCATAAAACCATTTTTCTTACATCTGATGTATAGAATCCTATAAATAATATTTTTCGGGCATACTTTAAGTAAAAACACTTGTTAACAATCATAAAAATAAACTCTTACTCTTTTCCCCCTCTACAACCCGTCCCACTCGACTGCGTTACCTCTAAAAGACACTTATTGAATTGAATTGAATATAAAAGAAATTCTACATCATGTAAAAACATTTATTTAAAGATCTAGAAAAAATAATATTCCATTAGATTTAGCTATAAGTAAACCTCCCAGCTGCCAGGGGACTCACTTTAAGCCAGCACCCCAATCAGTGAGAGGCAAGGGGACTCACATCAAATTATAACAAAAAATACCTATTAGAAATTAACTGTAATATCATACTTAAACCTTATTTTTATGTCTGTTTATAAAAGTTAGAGAAAGTTACAAGGAAGAAATAGATAAACGGGATGGACGCTCGAATGGAAAGAGGTGGATTGGCCTATTTTTAAACTAGAAACATTTCAATTTTGTTTATATTTGACTGACAGATAAATGTTTTTGTGAAATCTCTGATATTCTTCAGTATCTTTCAGGAGTTACGTAGAAGGGGGAAAGGCTGGAAGGGGCAGAGGTAAAAAGTTTTTTATGGCTATAAGCAAGTATATTTTACTTAATTTGTACAATAAAATCGTTATTTAAATGATTCTGTGCATCAGATGTAAGAAAAATGGTTTTATTACGTTATTAAGTGTTTTTGAGTGTTTTGGCTAGAATCGATTTAATGTTGTTGCTTTAGGTTCAAAAAATATATTCCATATATTTAGGATCAATTTCTGATAGGGCCGAAAACCGGCCTTATTGACACTTCTCCTTTGCCGAAAATAATACATTTATATGTTTTTCTAAATAAATTATGTGAAATTATGTGATACATAAAAATAACAGTAACAGTAAAGGTAGGAAAATATTATTAAGGTATTAAGGAAAATTGTATCGAACATTGTAAATTTTATTCGTCTGTCAAATTTGACATTTGAACAAATTACGCCTTGAACCAATGAAAACAATTACAGACGCAATTTCTAGCTTTAATTTATCCATCAATATAACAATATTAAAACAAACATCAGACCTACATAATTATTAAAACTATGAAAATTGAATTACAATTATTAAAATTTATAGTTGAAATAATAAAAATTTGATCCATTTTTTTTCGCATATTGCTCGCCCAAATTTTAAAATATTGTATTCACCGAAGTGGATTATATTATGTGATCTTTTACAATACAAAATTCTTCGAATTGCTTCAACACTGATTTTTCAGATTTATATTCACTGGAGTAAGTTTCTCAATATTCGAATCTATTTCTACCATAGAAATATTCCCAAATTGTGCCCTTTTTATTGATTCTTCATTAGTAACTTAGAAACACCTATTTTAAATTAGGTTTCATCCTAGATGAAAACAATTTTCTCACATAGAAATACGATGTGACAAGTGGCAACGTGATGACATGAAATACAGGGTGATTCACAAATGGTGACCAAAAATGAAACCTCGTATTCTTTGGTGAATTTTAAGTCTTTCCTATAAAGTTTTTATCTAGGACGCTTCGTTAAAAAGAAACATTGTGTTAAAACTTAAAAAAATATTTTTAATTTTGTTAAATAATTTAAAAACTATTAAGTGAAATAATTTGAAATTGATGTGACAAATTTCAGATTAATTCACTTGCTAGTTTTTAAATTATTAAAAAAAATTATAAATATTTTTTTAAGTTTAACACCCTGTATCTTTTTAACGAAGCACCCTAGATAAAAACTTTATAGGAAAGACTTTCCTTAAAATTCACCAAAGGATACGAGGTCGCCATTTGTGAATCACCCTGTATATCAAAACAATTTATTGGTTTATAAAATTTCGATAAAATGCCACTCCTACCACTAGCAATGGTACTACTGAAAATTTTCAGTGTCATATTTCACTGTAAAACTGCAGTATGACGTAGTTCTCCTAAGTGTACTTACTACTTTATTATTTGTTTCAAGCAAACTTTTATTGTAGACTTAAATTTTGATCAAAATGTTTTGGCGCATAATGCAATGCAGCAATGCAGGAAGAGTCTGCGAAATAGGCGTTTTAACTAACTCATAAGTTTTAGTTCACAAACACATTCTAGCTTCACAAATCGTTTAGTCCAATATTGAATTGCTTGCCTTTTGCGTTACATATTTCCTTCGACTAATAAAGTTAAACCTTTAACAGAAAAAAGCTGATTGTTGAATTGTTTTTAGAAGTTGAGAAAAATTTTCAAATGTGATCACGTATTCATTATTTTCTTGGTTCTATACATTTATCAAGCAAATTACTGACTACCCAGAAATTATTGCAATATCTTCTAGATGTTTTCTTGAGGTAGTATCAGTAATTATGCTTCTATATTTTGTAGTATATTCAAAGATGTTTTAGTACACATATGTAAAAATGATTTGACTTGTTTTAATAAAAAAAGTTGTAAGAATTACGTCGTAAAACAATTCCTGCCCTCCAAGTGGAGAAAATTATCGCTCGTTTATTCTCCATCACCTCGATTTCCATGCAAAGCAAACCCGGAGGAAGTTCTCGCGCCGTTAATTTTCGGGTAGGCCGTATCAAACTTTTTTAATAAAACAGGATGCAGTTACCGCGCGGCCCATCTTAAACTGAAATTGATTAGCAGTTTCGTTATGACGTTATGTAATTTAAACTCCTCTTCCAGCGAGCCGCCGTTTGAGCGAAGTTCGGGACGAGTTTTATAGTGCCAGAGCTAATAATGAAAACCGTAAAACGGAGGAATATAAATTTCCATGGATATCACCGCCTACAGGCGGTATATCTAACCCGATGCGAAATATTTGTTTATGTTATTCTGTTCCACACATAGTCAGTTATTTGTGTAAAACACAACTACAGGGTGTCCCATTTAAGACTCATTCTTCCATAGCTCAGTAATATAAAAAAATATTTAAAGGAAAGTTGTATCCAATCAATTTCTTCATATTTTAAGGTTATTTTACGTTGTACGGGGTGTCCCATTTAATCTGGGCGTTACATAATTTAATTTTTTGCAAATAGGTTCTGAGTATTAATACAGTTGTTTAAATTTCTAGTTCAATTTATGTTCTATTTTAATAAACATACACTGAAAGAAATGGGCTTATTAAACTGTTTATCTAGAATAATGTGTATAGCGCATATTAAAACTTTTATAACCAATATACAACTTTTATTAAAAAAAAGCAATCATCTCCATACTC